CAGCTGCATGGCTATACCTCCCTTCCACCTCCCCCCAGCCCCAGCCCTGCTCTAAACACTTCCATGGCTCCCCATCACCATCCCCACAAAGGTCACCCTCCCAGCCTCTCTTGGCTCCAGCTACCCTTGTCATGGGCCCACTTGGTGTTTGCCCGCCAGCTGCCCACCGTGGCCCAGGCCGGGGCGCCCCGTGGGTCCCGGCGCAGGCTCCACACCTTAAAGTGACGAGACATGTGTACCTGGGAGCTGCCTGTCACCCACACGGGGCCCGTGCGGCCCTGGAAGGACGTGTTGGCCAGGAACCTAGGGACAGGGCGGGGGGGATGTCAGGTGTCAAAGTTCAGACCCCTCACCCCTGCCCAGCACATGCCCAGTTCCCACTGGGCACCCCGTCCATATCATGAGGACAAATGTGGACACTCCTGGTGTACCCAAGCCTAACCCCTTGATGCCAGGGCATGCATGCCCAGATGCCGTGGCTGTACCCCCACCCCACATACGCCATGCCTGACGTCAGTGATGGACACATAAGCGCCCAGCTGGGGTCACCTGTTTCCAGGAGTTGTTCATTCTCAGGAACTGCCCCAGGGCTCGGCCAGAGACCCGTTCCCTCCCTCCTAGTTCAGCTCGTTCTCTCCCTGAGATAGTTCCCCAGGTGGACACTGCCTCTGTGGACCTAAGACATCTATTAGCAAAGCATCCTGACTGTGTTTGAGACAGGGTCTCTGTCGCCCAGGCTGGACTGCAGTGGTGTGGTCTCAGCTCACTGCAGCCTGGGCTTCCCAGGCTCAAGTGATTCTCTCACCTCAGCCTCCTGTGTAGCTGGAACTGCAGGTGTGTGCCACCACACCCGGCCAATTTTTTCTTTTTTTCTTTTCTGGTTTTTTTTTTTTTTTTTTTTTTTGAGACAGAGTCTGGCACTGTCGCCCAGGCTAGAGTGCAGTGGCACAATATCAGCTCACTGCAACCTCTGCCTAGCGGCTTGAAGTAATTCTCCTGTCTCTCAGTCTCCTGTGTAGCTGGAACTGCAGGTGTGTGCCACCACACCCGGCCAATTTTTTCTTTTTTTCTTTAGTAGAGACAGGGTCTTCCCATGTTGGCCAGGCTGGTCTCGAACTCCTGACCTCAAGTGATCCGCTCACCTCGGCCTCCCGAAGTGCTGGGATTACAGGTGTGAGCCATCACGCCCGGCCTCATGTTGCCTTTTGTGATCCATGGGCAGCGCAGACTGTGGCCCGGACACCCTCCTAAGGGAAGCGGGGTCCCCACTCACCGTGCCAAGAAGCGCCCGGGAGACTCGGGGCCGGCCGGCTGCAGGTCCCCGCAGTTGACTGTGGTGGGGAGGAGGGCACGCTCTGGCTGCACCTTGGCTGCACTGCCCAGCGCCCGGGCCACCAGCTGCACAGTGTCATGGATGGCAGCCTCCAGCGGGGGTCGTGCCACCTCGC